CCCCCCCCCAAGGACCTCCCTTTTATGACGTCACCCCCCACCAAGGACCTCCTTTCATGACGTCAGCCCCCCACCAAAGACCTCTGCATATGTTATCCACAGCCCCCAAAATCTGCCACCTCTTTTTATAGGGTTACCCCTGCTCCTACTTAGTTTTTCACAGCTCAGCTCTGAAAGGTCCCAAAACTCACACAGTGAGTCAGATTCCTCTTTAAATGCTCTCACTGCCCCACGTCATGTGCATACAAACTTACTTTCTATGATTATGAGGATCTGCCCTCTCCTCCCCCACAGGGTAAATTCCAGGAAGCAAGACCATGTCTTTTTTGCTCACTAGTCAGCCCCTTGCAGTGCTACCTCAATAGGGTTTTTTTTTAAGGAATGAAGGGAGAACAAATATCCCTTTGTCTCTTACCCTCATCATCTAAGGGAGGTACTGTGATCAGTAACAATAAATATGTAGTTTAGTAATGTAACAAAAATAACTGAATGACTAGATCATCAGGTTCTGAATAATGACAAGTTGATTGTTCACTTCTTTCTCTTTCTTTTTTAAAATGTTAATCTTGCCAGAGACTGCCTGCTCTTACTGGGGGGAAGGGGAGGTAGAGGAGCATGAGAGAGGAAGAGGGAAAGCACTCCCCGACAGGGGATGGTCACACCTCGATTCCTTCTCCACCTCTCCCTTCTTTTAAGATTTTGGGCATGTGCACATGCACACACACACACACCCTGTCCACCAGGTCTAGAACTTGAGCTGCGGTTGGCCATGTGGGATCCAGCTGCCTTAACCATCATGCCACCAGCTGGCCTGATTATTCAATTTTCTCATATTCTCTGTTCATTAAACACTGGAAACATGTATTTGTATGCTGTGAGTCTTTCATGGTAAAATGTTATAGACTCAAACTGTGGTAACATTCATTAATAATGCTATGTACAGATAATGTCCTGTTTGATTTAAAATATATAATTTACATAATATGGGAGTAATTCTGGTTTGGATACTCCATAAAGTGAAAACTGTTATTTGAAATGCCAAAACACAGGCTCCGCTGAAACAATTCCAAGCTACTATTTAAAACACATTCTTTTCATTCACTGATATAAGCCATTAACAAAATATTTAAAAAACAAATATTTCTCCTCTTACCTCTTTTACAATGTTGCTCACTTCATCAACAACAAAAGCTGTCTGAAAGGAAGAAAATTTAGTTAGGATTTATTTATTTATTTTTAGGTTTTTGTCATAGGGCACATACGCTTGCCTGAGAGAGGGAGGGAAGGTGAGATCACCCACGGGGGGGTTTGGCCATGGCACAATCCCTTCTCCATTCTCCTTTTGGGATTTTGGGAACGCACATACATGTGCCCAGACACCAAGTTCAGGATTCAATGGTGGTGGCCCATGTGGAAGTTCAGCGCCTTAACCCCCATGCCACCTGCTGGCCCCAAGGTTTGACTTTTTTAAAAAAGATGCTCCCACTGCATTGACAAATGCAAATTCAGGTAATGAACATAATTTAGAAATGAAGACTTTAGAAATAACCTCACTTTTCCAAAGAATGTGTTCCAGAAACATCAGGTGGATCCTGAGGGTGTCACAGCAAGTACGCAACAGTTGGGGACTAGCGTACACGTGACAGGTGTGGGGCCACAGTCCACGACTTCACTTTAAGCTAGAATTCCACTTCTCCTTTCACTTCAGCTGGCTGCTTGGATGAATCCATACAGAAGCTGAATGAGTTACCTGGCCTTGCATAAATTAACCGATGCTGCTTAAGTAATCCATCCGTAAAATTCTCTCTTCCCTGACGTTAAGTGACTATAAGACATAAAACACTGCGTTTTTGTTTCAATCTTTTTTTTGAAATTTTTGCCAGAGGGCATGTGTGGCCCCTGAGACAGAGGGGGGTGACCAAGAAAGCCCCCATGATGGGGCGTGGTCACTTGCAACCACTTCTCCTCCGTCTCTCCCTCCTTACAGGATTTTGGGCATGCACATGTGCCTGGTATGTAGGGTCTGGGACCCGAACCTAACAGCTAGGCCATGCCCAAGGGTTGGTTTGTTTCTAAGCCATCGCGAATCATCAGGTTTACAATCAATACTATTTCCAGACGAGTACTTTTCCTCAGCGCTGTCTTGCGCCTGCGCTAGCACAGCTCTCTGCCAGGGGGTCAGGATGACCTGGGAGGGGCTGCCAAGGTAACCCAGCCAGCTTCCGTTTTACAATGGTAGATGTGGATGCCCACAAGGTCATTCCTGAAAATAACAGTGGTCAGGCACGTGCCTGCCACTGTGCCGCTTTGTGTGGGGACAACAATTTACAGTCACTGTCTAGGCCCAGGAATGGCACTCAGCTCTGGCCACAGCCTGGAGAGGGCAGCCTGAGGCCCTCGGCAGTGTGTTTCCTGGTGGAATAAAGGCAGACAGACCCTGTTGTGGCAATGAGTTCCCTCCCTGCCTGGCAGCTGGTCACTGTGGTCCTGCCCTGTTTTAGTGACCCTCCCCTTTCTTTTCAGAATTAGGAATTAACTGCCCAAAGCCACCTCACCTGCTGGACTAGGAAGTCACAAAGTAGAAGTGTGCTCTAATTCCAGCTCTCACAAATGAGGTGGCTAAGTGGCTTCATTGTTCCTGTCTAAACTGAAGGGGCTGTTCAGTGATCAGCCCGCTGGACGCCATGGAGGACCAGGCCCTGACTGCCTTCTTGTAGGCAACTTCGGAAAAACCTACTGAGTTAAGAGTTTCTGAGTATCTCAGAGCGTCCCTCACTTAACGTTCATAGGATCCTTCCAAGTGACTGCAGTGATCCTGAACCGTACGTGGTCAAAGGATGAAAAGGTTTGAGGGTTTTACTTTCGTGGAAAGTAAAAATTATTGTATTGAATTCACTGGAGAGTTTCAACTTCCACAAAAAAGATGAACAATGAGAGAAGAGTTACAAAGGCCTAAGACCCTGAACTTATAAGGCATGCAAAAAAGGCTTAGTTGAGAGGCTGATGAGAGGGCCAGGAGGGAAAATGACTAACTACTCAAGGCATGCTACTAGAAGATACTCATGGTCTCCTCCTCCCATGGCATCCAGCTCCTGTAAAGCAGATCACTCTGTGGGCCCAGCAGGTGGTGTGGTAATTAAGGCATTAGACTCCCACAGAGCTGACAGTGGTTTGAGTCCTGGATCCAGTGGCTTGAAAATTGTGCAGGGCACCTGAGTGTATGTGCTGAAATCTGAACGGAGGTGAAGGGATTGTGGCGTGGCCATCACTTCTAAGGGTTGATTTTTCACTTTCCTTCTCACTATCTTGCTCTGTCTCTCTCCAGCAAGTGCGCACAGCCTATGGCAAAAACTTAGGGGAAAAAAAAAAGATCACTCTGTTCAGCTCCTTCATTTTATAGACAGGCAACTGAGATCCGGAACAAGAAGTCTCTTGGGAGGGCAGCCAGTGGCACAGTGGTTAAGGCATGTGGACCCCCCACGGCCAATAGCATGGTTTGAGTCCTGGCCTGGAGACCTGAAAAACACGCCAGGTGTGTGTGTGCATGTCCAAAATCCAGAGAGGAGAATGGAGAAGATGGTATTGTGGTGTTGTCATTTCCTCTGGAGAATGATTTCTCACACACCCTCTCACTGTCTCTAATCGTCAGTGAGCACAAGCACCCTATGGAAAAAAAACTAAAAAAAAAAAAAGAAAAAAGTCACTTAGCTACCTCATTTGTAGAATGAGGTAGAGCTGAAATTAGAATGCACTATGAAGAGCTTTCTCTTAGCACTTTCATCACTTTTTTAAAAAAAGTTTGATTCATGGGGCCAGCATGTGGCATGTACTCAAAATCCCAGAAAGAGAATGGAGAAGGGACTGCGGTGTGGCCATGCCCCCTGGGGAAGTTCCATTTCTCTCCTATAGGTACAAGTGCCTATGGCAAAAACCTAAAAGCAAGTTTTACCTGGTGATATAATATAAGCCATTTTCTGATATTACACTATATTAGTTAATAGTTTATGGGGAAAAGGTTTTCCTTTGCTCCAGAACCACATCGTCTCATAATTATTGACTTGGCTGCTGTCAGCATCCAAAAACTAATTTATGACACTATCATAGAAAGCTTGTGTTAGGAGCCAGCAGGTGGTATGGTGGTTGAGGAGCTGGATTCCCACATGGCTGACCATAGTTCAAGTCCTGGACCTGGTAGCTTGCTTTCTCAATTTCTCTCTCTGGTGAGCACACATGGCCTATAGCAAATTTTAAAAATAAAGGAGGCTTAAAAAAATAATTCTAAAAAAAAAAGTTTGTGTTAGTTAAAAATTCAGACCCAAACTGAAACTCTAGATCAGTACTTAGGTCTTATTTTTTATTTTTTCTTCCTCAGATAGTTCCTCCTTAAACTAGTTTCAAACATGCTAAAACGTCAAACCTCACCAAATGTATCTATCGTTTTAATTTTGTTAGGCTGCATAATACACAGGACTCTGAATTTCAACCAGGGTTGACCAGCCAGAAGAAAACAAGCAACTATTCTTTAACAGCAGCGTCCATCAGCTGTCTTCCTTGCAGGCCTGTGAGCTCCAAGAGTGCCATTTTAGCAGCACACCGTGAAGACGAGTACCTTCGGCTTGACAAATAACTGTGTGCTTCACCCTTCTTCCTTATCGCGGCAAGAGCCTATTTATTCCCGCAAGAATGAGCTCTTATGGACGTCTCAAACCGCTAGGCGCTGTTCTCACTCCCGACCTCGGTGGGGTGGGCGTGGCCCCGAAGGAAGGGTGCGGAACCAAGACAAAGCCGGCTCTGCCATTGTGGCCCTCCGCCTTCTGCAGACAGCCTGGACATCGAACCCAAGACCCGAGGCCTTGGGGAGGAGCCTGTCCGCGCTCACGACTCCGGCTCCTGCGTTAAAATGCTCAGGGCTTCCGCCTCCAAGCCCTGGCCGAGGAGCGGGCCCGGGCCGGGGTCTGCATCACTGGCCAGAAAGCGGAGTAGCGTCACCCGCCCGCTGCGGGCCGGGGACGAGGCCGCTGGGTCCCGGCGTGAAGATGTTCGGAACGCCCTGGGCCGCCCTGGACAGGGCCTGGGGGCCGCCGGCGCGGGAAGCAGTTGGTCCCCGCGGCCTCCCGCGTCGCTCCCGGCCAGGGAAACGGCCGCAGAGCCCGAGCCGGCTGCGGCTGGGCGAAGCCCCGTTATCTGCCGGCCGGACCAGGAGCAGCCCGGCAAGCCGCAGGAGGAAGGCGGCCACGGCTCCGCGGGCTAGACCACCTGGCCACCCGCGCCCAGAGCGGCCTTCGCCTTCCCGTCGCCGACCGGACGGTTACCTCCT